ATTTGGGGTGTCTTTTTGTCCATAATCATGCCCTATTCAAATAAACTGTAATGATGAATTAGTGATGTATCTAAGCTAAAATAAATTGTAAATGTGGGATTTTTCAGCCTGATTCCTCTCCTCTCACTTACATTTTGTTCTCAATTTTTTTTCAAATTTATGAAAATGCTTCAAGACTTCATTTGAGTAATGAAAAGCATAAGTGATTATCTCCTGAAGAGCATGGGTATTTTCCTACCTGAATGTAGCAGTTGGGTCTTCTCTTTCTTAACAAAGCAGTATTTTTCTGAGGACCCTGATGTGGACACTCACTTCACGGTATAAAGGTCTCACAGTTTGCTTTTCAACGGTGTGATGAAATCCAGTGCAACATCCTTATTCTATTTGCTCTAAAAAGCAGCAAAATTCACCTTGCTGTAGGAAGCAGTAAAGGAACAAATGTGGAGCGTGCTGTGTTTTGACCTGGTGTGCCGAGAGCTCTTCCCTGGCTGGAAGGAATGAGAAATCCACTGACACGCACCCCTCGCCTGTACCTACTGGCCATTCTCTGATAGCTGTTTACCCGGGAACAGCACTCACCACCTGAAACCTCTGTCTGTGAGCTCACAAGCTAATCAGAGCCAGCTATGGACAGTAGTTGGATGGAGGAACACCAGGAAAAATAGCTTAGGCTGCCATAAGGCATCTCAGTGATTTGTTGGTAATATTGGGCTCTCAGAGAGTAAGGAATCAGTGCCCTGGAGTGGTGCCTGGGAGCACTGTACAGGCAAAGGGCCTTCTCTTTCCATTAAGCGACGTAGGGACTTTTAAAACAGAAATTTGATTCCATATTTAATAATTATTATGGAATATTCTCACGGGTAGATACAAAAATTATCAGCATATCTCTCCAAATAAAAACCAAAGCAAAAACATTTATGTTTCTAGGATATGGGCAAAGTGCTACACTTAGCACAGTGCATGGCAACTAGGAGGTGCTCGGTAGATATTGTTAAATAAATGGTGCAGGAAGAAACAGTGAGTTCCCACCAATTCACACTTGGCAACAGCAGAGGTCAAAGTTAAAGAAGACTTTGAGTTCCTTCAAATGGAAATACTTCTGGCAGGGAAAGCTGTGTGGTATCACAAAATCAGCTACATTCCGATCCACTGTTCTCCCATGCTTGCAGCTCTGGTCCAGTCAATAAAAGGTACATCTAGGGAAGTTAGAGTGCCATTTGGCCCACATTTGGTAACTAAATATGAAAACTGGAGTGAATCTAAATATTGGAAGGAAACCAAACTGTGGGTGACCTGCTGGGCTGGATAGTATTGGAATCATTTGGCTGATGTTGCTAATCAGTCACCATTTGGTTTTGAAATGGAAGTCCAGTAATCAAATAAGTTTAGTAAAATTCCTTGTGTTTGCAGAGATCTAGTCAAAATGACTCTCTATTTTCCTATTTAAGCATCCTAGTGGAAGTCACGTTTTGCCTTTCTAATTAAATATTTGCTTACATTTGTGTGATGCAGTGTCACTGAATGAAGCAAAAAGCACACATAATTTTTATGGGAATTTCAGTTCAGGTTTTCCTTACTCTCAATGCCCTGAGTTATCAGAAAAATGTATTTGTGTTATTATGTATCTATTACCTGTATGAGTTTGATTATCAGGCTCTGAAAATCTTACTGCGTATGTATAACAAGAATGAGTCCACAGAATGTGAACAGCACTGGGTTAGAAGCAGAATTCTGGTTAAGCCATTTACCAGTATTTTCACTTTAGGAATATTACTTAACAATCCTTGGTCTCCTTACCTGAAAAATTAGAATATACCCACTTCCCACCTTACAGGGTTTTTTAGAAGAAATCATATATGCTACGATGGCAAATCTAAGCAGAGCATAAAAGTACGAACTTGGAGTTGTGGGGGGTGCTCAGTTTGCACTTGACATTACCACTCACTCTGTGATCTTTGCCAGTAACGTGACCTTCGTTTCCTCATCTGTCAGATGGGGGTATGATAATACCTATCTCACACGCCTGTTGAGAGGATTAAATAAGATGCTATATAAAGTACTAAGAATCTATGATATGGATAATATTGATGAGCACTTATTGTGTTGCAGATACCTGCTAACATACATGAATGTGTGAGGTGAAGGCCTGATTAGTGTGTTTTTCCATTCCCAGCCTTTGCTCCTATGTGGCCTTGCTTCTACAGGCCATAACCTTATCACGTGAGAGTTCTCACTGATAATTCTTACTGAGGGATAGGGAAGAGGCAATTTACAGGACCTACTGCTCCCAAGAGGAACGCTTCCAGGGTAAGGAACTAACCATGGAAGGAGATCTCTAGCCCAGAGGTTGGATTTGGTGAGCCTCAGAGGAAGTCGACCTATAATTTGCATTCTGGATGCATTTCTTTTAGACTTTGTTACAAGGGTCCTGGGCTCTAGAAAAGGGAAAGGAAGGAATGAGAAGGAGGAGGCTAGTTATCCATGTCCTTCCTCTCCCTCAAATCAGCCTCCACCTTTTGATTGTCATTTCCCATCTGTTATTTAATTATTATAACTACTTTTTATAAGCCTTGTTGCTATTATTAACAGCTAACATACAGTGAATTCTTACATAGGACATAGTTCATTGACTTACTTATAACAATCCTGTGAAGAAGATTGTATTATTATCCTTATTTCATAATTGAGTAAAGTGAAGATAACTCAGAGGATGAAATAATCACTTGACCTAGCAAGTGGTACTGCTAAGACTCAGACCTGGGGCTGTCTGGCTCTGACCCCCTATTTCTAGCTACTATACTACCCTTTGATTTCTTTAATGATTCATAGCGAGTTCAAATTCAATAAGGCACTTGAATTCAAAATCCATGTGCTATACTTTCTTGTACCCGCCTACCACCCAAAGCAATGAAAAGCAGACACTAGACCAGTGATGGTGAACCTTTTGAGCTCGGCGTGTCAGCATTTTGAAAAACCCTAACTTAACTCTGGTGCCGTGTCACATATAGAAATTTTTTGATATTTGCAACCATAGTAAAACAAAGACTTATATTTTTGATATTTATTTTATATATTTAAATGCCATTTAACAAAGAAAAATCAACCAAAAAATGAGTTCATGTGTCACCTCTGACACGCGTGTCATAGGTTCGCCATCACTGCACTAGACCATCAGTAAAAGTCACCTTCACCAAGATCTAATAGAAGTCTACTCTTTTAATTCTGTAATTTAGCACACTGGGATTTTTAAACAATAGAAACATCTTTAGATCTGTTTCACTTAGAGAAAGCTATGCTAATCTGCACTTTCATTCAGGGCTGTTGGTTCCTCCTTTGCTCTAGAATCTAGATGGGTTCTCATCTTCCTGAACCTCAAGGCCTCAGAGTGTGTGAGGAGGGAGGGAAAGCCTGGGCTGGATGCAGGGAGCACCACTATTGATCAACCTTGGCCCAGGAGGCCTCACTTCTGCCCTGTGCCTGCCCTGCCCCGTGGAACTGCCACCTCTCCTTCCCCCGCCCTGTAGGCTGCCTTCCTCAGGGCAAGAGAGCAGTGGCGAGCAGTTTGCTCAGCACATCCAGAGTCTCTCCAACAGAAATGAACTTCTGCTCAACTTGTCCTCAAGTCTACTTTGAAAATCAAAATGAATAAGTTGGGTTAATAGTCAAATGTGCCAGAACACAAACAAAAAAGTCCCGTTTTGTAAAACAGAGTGAACTCTAACCTTCTGAGAATTTTTGGTTCTCCTATATGAAATGTCTTTTGTAGTTTTAAGATACATTCTCATGTGATTTTTTTTCATGTTACAAAAAGGATTTTCTGAAGCTCAATATACTTTATTCTAATTAAACTGAAAAGATGACGCTGAGTGTAGAATTATAGCTAGAGTTTTAAAAACATTTATGAGCAAAAACTATAGGATTTACTATATAAACAAGCTCATTTAATGCATCATGTTAATGACATAGCTATAAATACAAGTTAGATAAAAAGCCTTGATTGGGTTTGTTTTGTTCTGTTCTGCCGATGCAGCTTTACTTGCACATGATAAGAACACTTTAGTCAGAAAGCACATCGGACGCCAGGACCACGCCAGCAACCTGCTCCAGTGAAATAGCAAACAAATATCAGCCCAGCCGCTTGCCTTATGGGCAAAATAATAAATAAATACTGAATATTTCTTCTATTTACCATTGAAAATTTAACAAGAAGAGATAGCCTTTGTACTATACTTTCAAAAAGGAAACAACCTTTTTTAAAAAAAAACCCACATAAGTTGTTATAATTGTATTGTAATGAACAGTGAGCTCTTTAGCGTGTTCCAGAAATAGCAGTAGACTGATTCCAGCAGTTAAGGTATTTCAACCTTCGGTAATCAATCAGAGGACTGCAAAGGAGTGAATTAGAGGTAACCCAGTACTCCCAACACCACTGATTTGTCATTTATCACAGCAAGTAATACACATGCTGATTGCCCGCCCGCTGGAGGGAGTCTACAATCATCTAGCCAGGCCTGATTTCTAGCTTAGCACCCATTTAAACTGTTGAGGCAATGTAACATTTGCTTTAGAAAACAGAAATGGAAAGGTAAATACACTGAATTCAGGAACCAAATATAAATTCCTTTTGGATTATACACAGTTATGGATTAACAGTATATCCATATAGCTAATCCCCTCCATTAGTGTGGATAATCCAGAATTGAATACAACTATTAACATGTTGAAAGTGGTGATAGTTATTACATGACATTAGTTTCACTAATTCCACCAAAGATGTTTCTCTTTGCCAACAATCTTCCCTTTAAGGCCTGTTGTTATACATGCAATTTTGTTTACTTTTTGGGTTTCCTAATTTTAAAAGCATGGATTTAGACCTGATTGTTCATGTTTGGGGAAAGAAGTCCCTAATAATTCTGGCTTGAAGGATAGCTATATAGTAATTTACTCTATCTCACATTCCCAAAGATGATCTTTTCTGGCTTTGCCCCTCTCTCCTGCAGCAGCCATCCACTATGAGCTACGCAAAACACATCATTAAGAAGGAAGGTTTGGGACTCCAGGGCCTCAACAAAGGATTTACAGCAACTTTGGGACGTCATGGAGTTTTCAACATGGTTTATTTTGGCTTCTACTATAATGTCAAAAACATGATTCCTGTCAATAAGGTAACTACTTAATCTATTAAAATTCTGGAGGGAAAATCTTATCAATGATGATAGCTGCATTTGTGGAGTGTTTATCCTGTCCCGGTCACTGTGCTGAACACTTACATCACTTATGTAATGGATCCTCACATCAGCCTTATTCATTCAGTGTTGTTATCCTGTTATGAATTTGGAAATATCAAGTCATGTACCCGGGATCACATAGTAAATAGCAAAGCAGAGACTTGAACCCAAGTCTGACACCAATCACATTATACCTGAATGTGCCATTGCACATGAATGCTTCACATTTATCACTAATGGGGATTTCTAGAAACTATGTTATTACTTAATTTTTATCTTAAAAGCATAATGTTCTCAGAAAGTTTAAATATTTGTGTTGTAAATAAATTCTGAGCTCATGAGGAAAATCGTCAGCCTAAAATTGAAATATTACCTAGATCTTTTTTTTTTAAATATATTTTATTGATTTTTTACAGAGAGGAAGGAAGAGAGATAGAGAGTTAGAAACATCGATGAGAGAGAAACATCGATCAGCTGCCTCCTGCACATGTCCTACTGGGGATGTGCCCACAACCCAAGTACATGCCCTTGACCGGAATCGAACCTGGGACCTTCCAGTCCGCAGGCCGACGCTCTATCCACTGAGCCAAACCGGTTTCGGCTTACCTAGATCTTAATTGTTAAGTTTGCATAAGTTAATTAAGGCAAGTAGTAAACAAGTTCTTCTAGGATCATTTGCTTTGGAAGCAAAATAATAATAATCATTATTATCTTTTAAATGGTGACTTACAGATGCCAGCAGCCTTTCAACTTCTAGAAGATAAAAATAGTACACGATATGCTTTAAAATGGGCATCTGTGGGCTTTTGCGAGGAATTTCCCCACCATCGGATCGCCTGCTGGCAATAAAAATTGCGACCCTGAAAGCAGCAGTTGGGGCAACATTTTTCACGTGCAGGCGGCTTCCAAGAGGGGTTCAGGTTTTCATTTAGCTTAGTACAGAAGCATTGAAGGACTTTTTATAAATCATAAAAATATTCCTAATGTGAAGTTATTTATACCTATCTTTGCCCAGCTACTCCCCATATTCTAGGCCAAGATTTATCGCAAGTATGAGGACAGCTGAATCCAAAGCATGTTCCAAGTTACCCATCTGTGGCATTACCTCACTCACTAGCCAAAGTTGTTAACCAGGTTTCACTGTACTTGGAAATCTCACTTATTGAGTAGAAGCTTGTTTTGTTCATCTGAAATCTATGATTGGCCACAATATAGGTAGATCCTCCCACTGACTGGCAATTCTGACTCTGGTGGTCCTCAGCTCTTCTTCTCCTGTTGAGTTCATGAAGTATAGAAATAGAGTGCAATGAACACTCGGGGCCTGGATGACATGAAAGACTTTGGCTCTTAATATATTAAGATTCTTTTTAGCCAGAATGGGTTAAACAATGTGAGGCTGAGGGAAAAATGAGAATGCAAGGCCCCTTGTTCAACAATTAAAAATTTTCAAGACAACAATGGTAAAGCAATAAACCAAGCATGAGGCTCTTCTAAGAGTAGGCCCTGGTGACTGCTCAAGTTACACACCCATGAAGCTGACCCTGTCTTTTAAACTCTCAGATGAGTAATCCATACAGCATGGGTCAAATGTCTGGGCCGCCCTTTCTCCAGTTATCCAAAGGCTTGAGATAGAAATTATACACAATGAAATGAATTATATAAATTATTTGCATATCCTATATAATAAAGAGGTGAGATGAAAATTAACCCACACCCTCACAAGATGGCTGCCTATGACCAGGCTGGCAGGGGGCTTAGTGAGGGACAACCAAACGACTGAACAGCAGGCTGCATGGGGTGATCAGGCCAGCAGGGGGGCCATGAAGGGTGATCAGGTTGGCAGGGGGGGAAGTTGGAG